CTCCTGAATCTTTGGCCCAAGAAGTCTTCATTTATTTTCTGCACTCACACTGGGCTTGGCTGCACTCTGTCTGTGGGAATTTTACCATGTGTTGCATCACTGGATTTTTCAGCTTAATTTTGCTGCTCTGTTTTCCTCCAGGAGTCTTCAGAGGTCTTTATTTTTCCTGTCTCCCTGATGGAAAGGAGATAGGTAGTGACACTTCCACTCAGGTTAGGATGAGCAAGTCCAGTGTGGGGATGTGCTCAAGGGGCTGGGGAAGGCTGGGAAGCTTTTCCTGGCTTGTGAGAGCTGCTGGCAGCTCCTGATGCACCACTGCCCTTGCCCAGCTTTTGCAGCCACTGTCACCGAAAACTAAGTAAATTAAATTACTAAGTAAATTAAGCTACCTTCTTCAAGTGACATTAAGTACAGAGGTTAGTGGTGGGTGTTAAAATACTCTCCTGGTTCTGGAGCTTTTTCACAGGGGCTCAGATAAGGTGGGGGAGTTTCTTGTGTTCAGTGCCGATTGGTGAATAAATTCAAGTATGCTCTGTGGCTTAACCACAGAGACCTGTTTTCTTTCTCTGCCGGAAACACCTGCCAAAAAAGCTGTGTTCACTTGGGCTGTATAAAGAAAAGCCCCAAATGAAACTTCCAGCCTTATAGCAACAGGTCAGGAGGTGATACTCACCATACACTGGTTTAAGTTTGTTATAAATGAATGCTCTGATTTAATAATTAAAGAAATTTTAAAATAATTAAATAAATTTGAAAAAAAAAAAAAAAAAGAAAGCTACAAGCGATTTGACTCTGATCCAGGTGATCAGTGTCGGGAAGACTTAGGACTTGGCCTCTATTGCACCAAAGTCCCCGTGGGTCTCCAAGGGTCAATTCTAAGGGGTCCATTTTTATACAGTTTCTTGGGCTTTGGAAGGGAGTCTTCTTTAGCATATTATCACATTTTCCCAGAACCAGTGGAAAATTGCTGGAATCCTGTCAGGTGAAAGTTTCCGAGATAAGCTTCTGATGATACCTATCAGAATGCCTCCTACTGGGGTCTAGTCAGACAAGAAATCCCTTGAAATGTACATTTCTGGAGACAGTGTCTTCTGGGTGTTTGAATCTTTATCACTTAACCTGTTGCTGCTGCAGTGCTTATCAAAAAGGCCTCCAGCTGGGGTCTTGTCAGATGAAAAAATCCCTTGGAATATACATCTCTGGAGACAGTGTCTTCCTGGTGTTTTGAATTTGTGTCACTTAGCTTACTTGTTGCCTGATACTGGTTTTAGTACACAAAATACTGTGGTTTTTAATTTCAGTTAGCACAGATTATTTTATAACATATATTACATGTAACAAGTTCATAGCATCTCACTGTGCCAACTGGATATGAAAAAATTATGGTTGTTAATTAAAACAGAATATTGATATAAAGGAATTAACGATGTTTTCCCTCTCATAACTACCAAAGAAATACCTTTTACTCTTATTGAATTGGCTAAATTACAAGAAGCACTCAGAAAGAGTCTGAAACTAAATATGTGTGGAGAGTCTCCCTTATATGGGGAGAGTGATTAATACTAACAGCAAAAGAATCTGAGGGCAACTGGGGACCTGGGGTTTTCCTAAAGACAGGAAGTAAGAGCTCCCTGGTCGCTCACCCAAAGAGCCACCTATTGGGCTGTGGGGTTGAGTTCTCCTGGAGACAGGTGGTCCAATTGCTGTAGTAACTTCTATGGATCAGTTGACTGAAAGTGTCCAAAAGGCTGCCGGCCCCCAGGTAATGCATCAACGCATACTGGAACCTGATCAAGGCTCCCTGATGACTGTACTGGGGAATCCAGATTCACATTCATGAATATGAGCAAGACGACTGGGACTACAGGTTGTAGCAAAGCTGTAGAAAGGGAGCTACCTTGTGTGCCAGGGAATTAACAGATTGTTGTCTACTATCACAGCTGTTTCAGCAGAGTGCGCTTCCTCTAACTAAAGGTCCTCTTGGAAACTAGCTGCAGGACTGCAGTGCAGTATGATGCTGGCTGTTTTCTGAACACCCAGTTGTCACCTTGTTCAGTTGTGTCCTGAACACACTGATGCAAAGCACTACACAGGATCCCATTTCTTCAAACACACTTATGTATGAAAGTGACACTCGACCTTGTTATGATAATGCTTCTCAGACACTAGTAATTTAATCTGGATTAAAAGTCATAAATTAAAAGTGCATCAATTATAGATGATATTATTACAGTGTTATTTATGTTAGCTATCTCTTAAAGTCCTCTGGCACTTTTGAACTGAGCAGGGCCAACTTTGATGTGTCAGGCTTCAATTAAAGGGTACTTTTAAACAGTACCCAGGTTTGATACATCCTTTCAAGAGGAATCAGTGAAGGATACTAAGAATTGTCAAGGGGAAGACTTCTGTAGGTAAGGAGACTGAGACTGCATCAGCAACAGGTAAGATTGGATGCAGCTGTGATGGAACTGCAATTTGGACAATGGAGTAACTCCACTGCTGGTGTCACATTATCACCAGCTGCCAATTAGCTTTACTTCTCATCACACTAGACAGTAAAAAGAGTGCAGGCTTGTATCAAGTTACATTGTCACCACTGCAAGGAATGGTCTTTCACTAGGGTGTAAAAAAAAAAAACCAACAACCCTGAGAAGTTCTTGGAAGAAAACGCCATTTAATGTAAGATTACACAAAGTCAAAGTGGAACTAGAACAAACATGCTGAATACCATGTGCCCCACAAGTCCCAGTTTTAAACCCATGACAATTCATTCTCAAAACCACCACAGGTGCGATGTCACCTTCCACTTTTTCCTCCCCTTCTCTCTAGCTTCAGATTTTCAGAACACTAAAAACTTAGCCTGTATAAAGTATAAAATTTGTGCATTGCAGAAGATACCTTCTACTATGAAAGTTCAACAGATAGACAGAAGTATGTCTTTCTCAGAATCTTCACCACCACCACCATTCTATTAATCACTTTGTGGGGATCCCCATGAGATTCTCCTGTTAGAGTTCCCCAGCCAGAAGGAATGCACTGCATACTGGTGTGGAGGAAGTCCAGCAAACCTAAGACCACAGCGGAAGACAGTGAGGAACTCCCTCTTTGTCACAGCCATACTATTTGAGTGCACAAAGAGAGGACCCTCTCCTTGTGGCCGTGCTGCCACGTAGATATGGAGAGCCTTAACAGGACATACCCACATCTCTTTACGTAGTCTCAGTTGGATCAAACACCTCTGTTGGCCCACTTGAGATGGATGCAGAAAAAGGGTTGCATGTCCTTCTGTCAGCTGGAGGTCACTCAAGTACAGGAGGTCTGGCTGTGCTATATTTTGGCGATTTGTCACCATCTCTTCTGTATGGAGTACGCCAAAAAAAGCTACAGTAAAAATGGCACGGAACAGCAAACACTCATAAGGAGAGCTACACACAGACTCCAGAGCTCCCAGAAGAGATCTTAACACTTCAATTGTTACAGGAGAGTATTCATCATTTGAACGGATAGTCCTCTGTTTCAGCCTTGACATCATGTGACAGACAAGAGGATCTGAAAGGGGATCAGGATGATCTACCATTCTGGAGATGAAGGACAGTCCTTCCATATACATTATTATTTTCATGGGAGGTAGGTCCTGGGACTCCATGGCGACCAGAAACTCTCTAATTTGTTCAACTGGAATTGGCCAGATGGCAGACAGAGCCATGCCTTCTCTAAAGGAAAGAAAGTTTTTCAGGCCTTCATAGTAGTCTTGCCATAAGTGTCTCTCTCTTGAGTCCTCCAGTAACAGCAGAGCTTTCAGGGGCCAGGGGCCCAAGGAATGCTTCTCAGGAACCTGGCTAAGATTATCTGCTGAAAGAGAACCATGTTAGTAAGAGCAAGCAAAAGCAGATAGAATTTCCCTCCCTTTTAACATGCTTCAGCCTTTACTTGAACTTTTCTGAAAAAAAACCCTGTCCCATGCATTCTTATGACTCTCATCTGCAGAGTTTCCAACAGCCAGAACACAGGAGGAGAATTACATTCTCAAAACCCATAACCCCCCACCTATTTGTCTCTTTAAAGCAACATCTCAAGCCTACTGACAGATCTGACACCCTATTGCAAGGTTTCTGTGACCTCAGACCTCTGTCAGTGGGCACGAGTGGCCGGGAGTGACAAAGGCACCACAAAGTAACAATATAGTCAGGAGTGCACTGAGATCTCAGAAGCTTTCCAACCGTGTGGTCAGACCCCATGGAAGAAACCCGGCAGGACTCTACCCAGCTCCCCCACCACTCAGCTGCCCACTGCCCCTCCCTGCTCCACCAAGGGCACACTTACCAGCTCCTTCCCCGCTGCCAGCCTCCAGTCCGCTGGTACCACTCGATCCGGTGCAGCCATCCTGCCCACACGGCAGCCACCCCATGCCGGGCTCCCGCCGCAGCAGCGCCAGCAGCGACCAGAAGGGTGAAGGGGCAGCAGGCGGCTCAGCTGTTCTCTGCATCACCAACAAAACTGCAGCCACACAGTGAGAAGCACGAAACAGCAACGCCTCGGTGGTGCTACCGTGCTGGCCTTTTATACCCTGGCCATCCTATCCGAATTGGAACGCCCCCTTTACGTGCCCTTCTGCGGCTCAATCCGAGCCTGTGCCTGAGGGTCCGTGCTCTGTCCCCCCATCCTGCCTCCTCCGCCCTCTGCCCACGGATCTGCGGGGGAGGTACCTGGAAGGCGAGACTTCAGTACCTGGGACCTGCTTAAGCCTCCATTGTGCTGCAGCTGAGGACTAAGGGAGGAGCAGAGAATGTGTCCGAGGGTGGCTTAATATGTTTGCCCCTGCCACAAACCTGTGCCATTTTGTAACTAAAAGGAAAGAGCCGGCAGCAGTGGGGGTTACAAACGCAGTACAGGTCCCTAGGACGGCCAGGAGTAATACTCAAATCTTTGAGGGAGTGGAAGCTCTTAGGGAAGGCGGCCGCCGGGATCCCTGTACATTTAAAGGGAGACCAAAAGCTCAAGTTGTCGGCTGAGCAGCCTGGTAGCTTTAGGTTTTTTTTAGGATTTTTCTGGGTTAGCTACTGCGGAAAGGCAGCTGTCTTGTTGAACTGTGCAAAAGCATCTCAGTGCGTAGCCTGTACTTAACAGCGAAGGAAGGCTTATTGAGTAATTCAGAGCAGAGCCAGCTGCCCTGAGATATTCTCTACCAAACCTGGAAACCACATCTTGAGAATAACTGGGTGGTAACACACGTACATTTATCTCCTTTTTACCCTTATCGCTAAATCCAGTCATATTTCAGACTCTGTCAGAACACGTAATTAAAGGCCGGGCCGTTTCACACCTCTCGGTTCTCAGGCGGCGCCCGGCTTCCCATCCTCCACCCAAAGCCCAGGGCAGCGCTCGGACCCCCGGGGCTGTTCCGAGGAGGGCGCTCGATAAAAGGGCCCCCGGGGCTCGGCTCTGGCAGCGCAGCGGTGCTGGTGTCCCGGCCATGGCCTGCGCTGCCCGCGCTCCGGCCGCGCCCGCCGCCACGCTCTTCTGGGACATGCTGGCACTGCTGGCCCGGGAGCCGGGCATGGAGTGGTTGAAGCCGAGCCTCTCCGGGCAGAGAGTCACCTCCCCGCCCCGCAGCACGGAAACACCGCGGAGCGGTAAGTGCGGCCGGGGCCGGGGCCGGGGCCGGGGCCGGGGCCGGGGCCGGGGCCGGGGCCGGGGCCGGGGCCGGGGCCGGGGCCGGGGCCGGGGCCGGGGCCGGGGCCGGGGCCGGGGCCGGGGGCACCGCATCGCTGGCGGCCGTGCCTCCTACCGGGCACCGCTCCTTGGTTTCGTTCGGGTTCTTTGAGGGTTTGGAGGGATGAGTCGACAGAGCTCTCCTCCCTGGGCTGGGAAATTATTTTACCTACTGGAGGGAGTATGCTGTCTGACCTTTGTTGTTGTTAACTTCTGCAAGACATCCCTTGGTTTAAAAATTGCTTTATATTTGTCTTCTCCATTACTGCTCCACAACCCTGTAAATTCACGGTGTGTTACCACATCCAGTGCCTGAAACGGGCCTGATATGCTGCTTGTTTCTCATTTGAAAAATATCTCTGGTGCACTTGTGTGAGAGCTGTCTATCAGATAAGCTCACAGCGTTATCTGGAGGCTCCTCCAGGAAAACCGGAGTCTTTATTGCCGTTTAAACAGTATGCTTATGCCTTTTGTCACCATGTACTAATGTGGGTCTTCTCTTGCAGGAAGCGACATCAGTTATCATCAGAAGCATTCCTTGGGATCTTGGCCTCTGAAGACTTTGTCGTTGCTGGAGCACTCAGGGGATAGTAGGCTTTGGCAAGCCTATCTCGAAGGACTGAAGAAATTCCTTGTCTTCAGGGAAAGCATGGGAATGCCTGCAACCTGGCCAATTCCAGTGGAGCAAATTAGAGGGTTTTTGGCTGTGGAATCTGCTTATTCCACCTCGAAGACACTCACATATATGGCAGCACTTTCTTATTTATCAAAATTGACTGGTAACTCTGATCCTCTGGAAGATCCTATAACCTGTTGCATGGTGATGGGGTTGAAACGTCGAGCGGGTATCCCGAGGGATAAATATTTGCCTGTAACAATTGAGATGTTGCGATCTCTCTTAGGAGTTCTGGAGTCTGCGTGCATAACTCGCTATGAATGCTTACTGTTTCGTGCCTTATTTACTGTAGCTTTTTTTGGGGCACTTCGAATAGGAGAGATGGTGGCAAAGCACCGTAATGTACTGCAGCCTGAGCTGCTGTACCTGAGTGATCTGCAGCTGATGGAGAGGAAAGTGTTGCTTTTTCTACCTTATTCTCCTGTGGATCAGGAGAGACATGTCATCAGCCTAGCGCTGTCTGGGGAGCCATGGGTGTGCCCTGTTCTGGCCCTCCGGAGCTATTTGACAGTTCGTCCGCGGCAGGAAGGGCCACTCTTTGTGCACTCGGATTTCAGGACTGTAACGAAGAGGGAGTTCCTGGCGGTTCTCAGACGTGCCCTGTGCCTGTTGGGGCTGTCTCCGGAGCAGTACGGCGTGCATTCCTTCTGGCTGGGGACTGCTGTCACCGCTGTGCGCTGCGGGTATCCTGGGGAAGATGTCACTCGCCTGGCAAGATGGCCCTGTATGATCCCAGGAAGATTCTTACCAAGGAGACCAACAGGAAAATAGAAGCTAAAGAATCATCTTCTTTATGTAGAGTCAAACTTAGCTGTATAGTTTCTAGCCTTTGACAGGAATTTAGTATTAACACCTGAAATTAATTTTCTACTGCACAGTGGGGTGATCCTAAATTCACTCAGAACTTGTTTGTTCTGTCTGTATTTGAAGGTAGGGGGAATGTCAAACCTTTGTACATAGACTTCATTTTTATCTTGTATAGTATCTTTATTCTCTTGATATAATAAATATTGCCTTTAAAAAAAACCACTTTCTGCCTACTAGTGCTATTGCTGCTCTTTACTCAGAAATCATACTGAGAAAAGCCCGTTTGTCATTCTTTGCTCTCAAAGAAAAACTAACCTTTTAAGGAACTAGTTCTAAGGAGGAAGTAGTTAAATGGTATTATATTTTGACACAGGTCTGAATGTTTTAACACTAACATTTCACTAAGGTGAAAAGGAAAGTATAAACTATATTATTAGACAAATTACAGACACCAAAGGATGATCTTATTAAAATGTTGATCAACATAAAATGTTCAAAATTATACCTTTTTCTATTTAAATAGATGATAGTAACTTTTCATCCAACTCTGAAAAGATTTAATTTAATCTTCTAGATTCAATTCCCTGTGAGCATAATTAGCTTAATCAGTATTTTAAATAACAAAAATAGCACATGGTTCATCTAACAGTTAATGATTTCCTTAGGACGTGATACTTCCTGGCCTTAATTTGACCTGCTTTTTTCCTGAATTTTAAGTTACTTTTTAAAATTGAGTTTTCAACCATAACCATAAAGTACAATGCCTTGAATGTTTCTAATTTTGGTGTTAATAGCATTTGTAGCACTTTGATAGCCTCTGGTGGAAAATATTTTTCGCCATATGGCTGGATGGGGACAGGAGTTGGTGAGTCAGACAATCCTCTGTCTGAGAACTGTGGTGAGCAAGCCTTTTAGATCACCCTTATGCTATCACTGCTTCAATCCTGTACTATGATTATAGCTCAATAGCGTGGTTTTGTATCTTTCTCTGCACTATGCCCTTCTCTAACAAAATTATGGGGAACAGAAGGATGGTAGCTAGCTGAAATTGAATGCTGGCTTGATCTCCATGAGGATGATCAGCCATGAATTCTGAGACTTTGTGTTTTTAGTTGAAATACACCCTGTCCATGTAGGGCAGCCCCTCCATCTCTACTGTGCATGGTGTTGGGCTCACTGTGAGAGTTAACTACAGAGCAGCAACACTTCTGTGGTTATGCTGGTATCAGAGATATCAGCTAGAATGTCTTTTTCATTTCTTTCCTTTGTTCACTTGAATTGCATGTTTGCACAGTAATTTCTATTTCTGTGCATGAAATTTTAAGTGTAAATAGAGGTAACCAAATGTAGCATCTCCCCTAGGAGTTATTCTGAGGTGCCCACCTGCTGCTGCTGCTTCTTAGGCTGAGCAGATACTGAGAACGTACCTGCATAGGGAAGTGCTTTGTGCTTGGTGGAAGCCTTGGGTTTTTGCTGTCCCCTGTGTATGTGATGCATCTGCTCACTGGTTTGTGCTCTATCTAGGCAGGCAGTTTCTAGTACTGTCTGTTGCCTTGCTGTGAAAGGTCTGTGTATCGGCCTTTTGTTGCAGGGCTTTAGTAGTGGTGGGAGGGGGGACTGCGAGAATGGGCTCTGTAGAAAGAGGTAAAAGGGGCTGCCCCATTCATATTTTTGTTTCCCAGTACCTAAATATTTTAACAGCCTGACCATTTAACTACCTGCTAGGACTCTTCCGTTTAATTGATTTCAGCAATAAATTTTGCTTCCCAAATGGGGATACAGGAAAGTTTTTGGCAAATATTTTAGGGGTGTGAATACTTGTCCTAGCAGACAGGAATGGATGTATTAATGCTTGCACCTTTAATATAGCTGCTGTTTTGAAAGCTTATAGGTAAGTTTGGGGAACCTGGTATTTGGCAAACAAATGTAATGACGATTGTTCGGGAATACTGGGAAAATGGATGCCTGTCTTTTCTGTAATTTCTATGTCTCTGACACATGAACCACAAAGGAGGATTATCTTTGTTCTTATTTCTGCCTACGTTGTATAGCTCTAGCCAAGGTTTTGCTCTTGTGCCACTCCTAAGTGTCATTAAACCTCAGAAGTAGCACCTCCTGCCCCTCCTTCTTCACTGACCTGGGTGTCTGCAGAGTTGTTCCTTTCACATCTTCTCACCCTTCTCTTCTCTGGCCACAGTTACATCTGCACAATAACTTTCTTCCATCTTAGATATGTTATCACAGAGTCATTACCACATTTCTAATTGGCCCAAGCTTGGCCAGCAGCACGGCTGTCCTGGAGCCTTTTGGCATTGGCTCTGCTGGACACAGGGGAAGCTTCTGGCAGCTTCTCACAGAAGCCACAGTTTTAACCCCCTGCTACCAAAACCTGGCCATGCAAACCCAATACACTAGTTCTTTTCATTTAGCTGTTCTAAAGCATAGAAAAAGAATAGGTAATAAGAAGGGTATTTACTTCAAGATGTAAAATATGAAACTATTTCAACTCACATTTTTCCCTACCATGTCAATTAATGGTTTCATGCATTTTTATCATATTAAGGGGGAAAGGCTAAACGTACTGACTCTAGAAAAAGCTGAAAAACTCTTTGTCATAGGTTGCAATGCAAGATGTAACCAAAAGTATGTATTCTATCACCATCTGTTACAACCAGGTAGAATAGTGTTCTTTATCCCTTCCATGACCCATCCCTCATAACTCCAAGGGGATATCCTCTGTGAATAAGCCAGCTATTAAAACCAGGTGGGGCAGTTTTCTTTATCTCTTCTACACCCATCCTTTGTCCAAGGGAATATCTTCTGTTAATAGGCCATTAAGTCTCACTACATAACTAATAAAATTACACCATCAGATTGCAAGATGCTCCACTCAAGAAGAGTCAAGCATTCCTACCTGGATAAAAGTCTAAAATTTAAAATTTCCAATGAATTCCCAGAACAAGACCAGGTCCATCTACACCACCACTAGAACTTCAGAAGAAAACTACAATATCACTTCTTCAACAAAACTACATCTGCCACTCCAAAAAGACTGCAGCCACCATTTAATCAGACTGCTACCAACAGGGTGTCAGGTTTTGTATTACTGCATTTTTATTTTAATTTTCCTAATAAAAACCTGTTATTTCTATTCCCATATCTTTGCCTGAGAGCCCCTTAATTTCAAAATTATAATAATTCAGAAAGAGAGGGTTTACATTTTCCATTTCAAGAGAAGCTCCTACCTTCCTTAACAGATACCTGTCTTTTCAAACCAAGACAGTCTTGTATTGCTGATGACTCTCTGCTGTGGGATTTCACTGTATTATGTGCAGATACCCGTGAATCATTCATGTGGAAACTCAAACTCTTAAATTTTCTAGAATTTATAATTATTAATTTAAGTAGTTAGACTCTTCAAGAATAAAGAAGGGGAAGTAATAGAATCACAGAACTTTTTGTGTTGATATCTTCAAGACCATCCAGTTCCAGTCTCCCTTTATTAACTTGACCAAGTTACCTTTATTAACCTTTATTAACTTGACAAAGTTACTCAGAGCTCCATCCAGCCTGGCCTTGAATACCTCCAGGAATGGGGCATCCACAACTGTTAGAGTGAGCTCATGGGCACTCTGTGCCCCCTTCCCTGGGACCCTGTGACTCTGATCAGATAACCCTGGACCCCTCCTTCCTGCCCCAATGGGGCTGGCAGACAGCCAGAGAAGCCCACCCTGTCCAAAGTCTATACAGACCCCTGACATTTCCTATTCATCCTCTTTTGCCCCGCTCTCCACAAGGACAACACAGAATAAAGAGAGATGAACCAATTTATCTTGGGGTAAGAGCCTCCTTTGGAAATCTTTACCATCTCCTGATATTCCTCCCCTCAAAGCCTCGGATCTCTGGGCTAGCCTGATAATTCAGGGGGCTGTATGAGGGGGGGAACGTCACACAACTTTTCTGGGAAAACTCTGGGAGTACCTTACGACTCTCTAAAAAAAAAAAAAAAAGAAATCCTAATATCTAATCTAAACCTGCTGTCTTTTAGTTGGATCCATTTCACATTGTCCTGCCACTACATGCTCCTGTAAAAAATCTCTCTCCATCTTTCTTTTAGGCTCCATCCAGGTACTGGAAGGACACAATTAGGTCACTGCTAAGCCTTCTCTTTTCGAGGCTGAACAACCCAAATCTTTAGCCTTTCCTCATAGCAAAGGTGCTCCATCCCTCTAATCAACTTGGTGGCCCTCCTCTGACAGGTCGCTGTCCTTCCTGTGCTGATACTCCAGAGCTGGCTGCAGCACTGCAGGTGGGCTCTCAGCAGAGCAGAGGGACAGAATCCCCTCCATCCCCTGCTGCCCACGGGGCTCTGGGTGCAGCCCAGGACACGTTTGGCTCTCTGGGCTGTGAGTGCCCATGGCTGGGTCATGTCCAGCCTCTCACCCACAGCACCCCCAAATGATTTTTGTATGGGGCTGCTCTTGATTCATTAGTTCCCCAGCATATATATACACACACATACACACACACACACACACACACACACACACACACACACACACACACACACACACACATGTCCATACATATATATTTTTATACATGGAGAATAAATAGTCAAATGACTTTAAACCTCTTAGGGTTTTCTTTACAGTGGTTATATGGAAAATTATTTGTGCTATAAAAAGTGCTGAGAAGAATTTTTGAGACTACTAAGGCAAGAAATTTTGTCTCTCATATTTGTTTCTTGTCTGTAACCAGTACCTGGATGAAATGTAGCTAGGAAAAGAGAACCCTTGTAAACTAAGGGATTCCATTGATTTACTACTTGAAACATCCTCAAAGTGCCTTTCACATATCTACTCAGACATCTTTATCACCTTGACTTCTTCCTTCTACTTGCTGTCAGATATGTGTATCCATCAGTTGTGATGTTACCTGTACATTGAAGACACTTGATCATTCCTCCCCGTAGCGAGGAGGACACTGACATTCAGCAGCTGTAGTAGCAGCATGCTGGGCACAGCATACCAGTGCTCTGCTTTCCCTGCTCGTGCTTTCTGTTGAAGGTGTTTCCTTTCATATACTTAATTTATTCTTCCTCAGGAGGTTTGTAATTTCTAATGTTGCAGGCTTTGAAACTGTATAGAATTTGAAAGTACAAGTATTTTAAGATATCGAAAGGAAAAGCAATGTTTTTCAGTCAAGATCAGTGAATG